TTATTTTTATTTTATGTGTATGAATGTACTGCATGCATGCATGTAAGTGCACCTGTGTCGTGCAATGCCCATGGAGGTCAGAAGGCATTGGATTCCCCTGGAATTGGAATAACAAACAGTTGTTAGCCTGCATGTGGGTGGAATGGAACCCAGGTCCTCTGCAAAAGCAGCCAGTGCTCTTAACCACTGAGCCATCTCTCCAGCCCCTCATGCATTTTTTATCCAGATGATTATACTTACAGTTTTTTTCTCCAAGATCAGAACCTTCTTCATTATTGCCATGTTAAGATTAACAATGGTTCTTTTGCTATGATGGACAGCTGTTGCCACCTCACAAGAAAACACTACTTTGCTTTAAATGACTCTGTGCCTGAGGACTTCTTTCCTCAGAGTATGGAATTCCTTTAAGGTAAGAGCTGTATCTTTGAATCCTGAACCCAACACCTGATACATGACAAGCAATCCAAGCTTGTTGCTGTACACTACTATCAAACTGCTGCTGTTCTCTGCACAGAAAGGGATGGAGAAAAAGATGCTACTTTTGGTAGATAAACACATATTAGTTCCCACTGGATCTCAACCAGGCATCTCATTAAAATTCAGAAAACATTTCTACTCATAATTAGAGCATAGACTCCAGACCATGATGCAGACAGCTTCCCACGATGTCAGTAAAGGCCTGCTGGCTTCACGGTGGGGAGTCACACCTTTGCTGTCATCTTGTGTGATGATGCCTGACCCTTTCAGAGTTTTTACTCATCATAAGGACCCAGACTTCCTTCTTGACTGCAGGGATTTCACAGGTAAGGTTTCTGTTTTCCTTTTGTTATTTTTCCTCCCCATTTAAATCCAAGTTAAATATGCAAAACCTGGCTAGACTCCCTTTGCTCTCTCACACTGTTTGCTCAGGCATTTGTAGGGTTTCAACATAATTTAAATATTAAATGTTTTAAAACTGAAAGTAACAGAAACCCACTTACTTGTTTATACAAACCTCTGAACACCCGCAGCTTAATAACAGACAAAGACACTCTACAGGGGAGACAACTGGACCAGGCAGCTCTAAAGCTGTTCCCTCCTCCTCCCTCACCCACTTGTTCTAAGCTTTCTATTTCATTCAGTGCTAGCACTGTAGTTCCAGAGGCTAGCCATTCTGCTTCTCTAGGTTTGGCTTATGTGTAGACACAAATGCATTCTCTTGGTCTCATCTGTTTCCTAAATACCACACACCTTAAGGAAAAATAGAAAGGCAAACAGCCACAGCTGATGGTTTCTCCTCTGTACAAACTCTCTTCCATCTAGCAGTTCTGAGTGTCTGCTATGTCCCGTGTTGTCTGCTCCAAACACCTCTCCTCAGTTTAGTCTCACCTCGTGTTTTAACTTCTTTTTTGCAGCCCTTATGAATTACTCCTTATTCTCTTCCAGTTCACTATGTTTTGGATCAATAATTTCCATATCCTCAAAAGAAGATTACAACTATGCTCTCCACCTCTGCCTAGAACAAAACTGAATGTTGAGAGTCATATGTTACTCATTTTATACCTTACTATTCAGCATTATGCCATGCCATTAACTGATTAATGAAATCATTCATCCCAATGAACCAGTGATGCTAGGCATCTTTCAAGGGAAGAGGGTTGCATAGAAAAAGCAGGATCCTGGCTTGCATGGGATTTAGATCTTATGTGAGGGAGAAAGTATATCCAAAAGTATCCTGTGATGGCTAATCTTGGTTGTCAACTTGACTGGATCTGGGATTAACTGAAATGAGACTTTCTTGATTGGATTATCTGAAGCTGGAAGACCTAAATGTAGGCGTCACCTGATTGCAGCCCATATATAAAAGGTCATGGCAGAAGGGAGTTTTCACTTTTTGCCTGCTTGTCTTCTTTCTACTAATGAGTTCATCCTGCTGCTGTGGCATTGCTTCGCTGGTAGTAGAGTCAACTTCTTTAGATTCCAATGTAGAATGAAGACTATCAGACCTCCAGGAATCTTCCAGGCCTTCAATGCCAGATTGGGACTGCTGAGACACCCAGCCTCATGGACTGAGCAACCACCAGATTGTCAGCCTCTCCAGTGTGGTGCAGCCATTGTTGGACTACTCAGACTCTATCCTGCGAGCTATTCTAATAAATCCATATATAGTTTATCAGTTTTGTTTCTTTATAAAACCTTGACTAATACATATCCCTCAAACAAGATGCTTCTAGACTGAGAGAGACCAGGGTAGACATGGGAAGTGTTTAGGATTAAGTGACAGGAAAGCCATTAATCACTAAGAAGGTGACACCTGAGCATAAATGACATGAAGGAGATGTCCACACAGACTCAGGAGAAGAGCATGCTCATGGTAGGAAATACTAAAAAGCTAAAGAAACATAAACACACTGTCTTACGAAGTAAAGGCTTCTGTTTCTAGACTATATGATCTGAACCCAGGACTCACAAACCTCAAGGATATGCTAACTTTGCCAGCATCATCTCACTCTCTGGCTTCCAATTTGCCTCCCATGCATACTGTCCCAGCCTTCTACGCACTCAGCACTCACACAGGCGCTCTTAACATGGACTACATGATGGGCTTCTAGAATCAGATGCAGAATTGTACAGCTGTTCACTTTCTTAAAATATTAAACTCAACTTATAAGACTGGAGTCTCAAGAGTGAGGCTTATGTTTCAAGGTGGAACATGGCGCTTGATCCCATACCCAGGAGCAAGACACAAACAGAAGAGTGCCCGCAGAACATCCAAATAATTAAAAGGACACATGACATTGGAGTACAGGGCAAGTGGAAACAAAACAAACTGAGTGGGAAGATTGAGCCTGGAAATCAGCTTCATGCAACAACCTTAAAAAGAATGAATATGCCAGACACTGCACTCCATGTGAGAACACAAGGTAAAATAAAAACTCCTTAATCTCAAGGGGCTAATGGAAGAGTGTCAGGTGCAGAAATAAGGCCCATCTTATGAAGACGAAGGGACAGAAGGAATGCACACAGAGAGCTTGGAAGCTGACAAAAAGATTCAGTACAGATACCAAAAGCCATCCTTAAATTAATGTTCATCAGATTTGATGAACAGAGGAGAGCCACAAAGAGAGGCAATATCTCAGGCAGGGGAGATGGCAGTAGATAAGGTGCAAAGACTTCAGAAAGTGCTTATTTGTTCTAATAAAGAGAGAGGCCTGATGAGGGATCTGTGAGGGGATTACAAGTAGCTCTACCTTGCTGGCTACGTACAGCCAGCTAAACATGAGTTAGCACATGATTACTTTTAGATTGCTGCTGGAAAATGCAGTTCAGTTGAGGACTGTGTAAAAACAGCATAGGAGAAAAGAATATACACATACATATTTTTCTTGTATAGGATTAAAATGAGCAAAGGAAAAAAAGGACCGTGTGTATTATTTGCTATTGCCTTTCAAAATTTGGAGAAAAATTAAGTCTAGATGTTTGGAACCACTTGCTATATAACCAAGTTGTATTATAGGAGGAGTTAATATCCTCACTACCACAGAAACGAGTTGGAAGTGATTGCAAAGAACCAGGAGATTCCCTCGGGGCCTTCTCAGGACAAGGGAGATACCTGGGGTCTATTCACATTATGTATTCACCATGAAAATCAGTCAACAGCCTCTGTGTAGCTATGCACAGGGCCCCCAAAGCTGCTGCTTTATTCTCGTTATGTCATCTGTTTGGAGTTGTTACTGACTTCATAGGTGTTAGTGAAATAGAAAGGCTGAGAAGGCAGTGAAAATTTTATAGAGGTAATTTTATTTATTTTTTATTATTTTTTAATTAATTTATTTTTGGTCTTTTTGAGACAGGGTCTCCCTGTAGCCCCAGCTGTCCTGGAACTCACTATCTAGACCAGGCTGGCCTTGAACTCACAGAGATCTGCCTGCCTCTGCCTCCTGAGTGCTGGGATTAAAGGTGTGTGCCATCACACCTGGCTATAGAGGTAATTTTAAACACAGAGAAACCACTGATTTCTAGTTCCTTTACACAGTCATCTTTTCTGTTCTCCCCATGTCCTACACTGCTCTCTATTTCTTCTGCAGTAAAATGGGTTTATTAATGGGCATGAGTAGACAGTCCTAACAGTTGCCACTGGGACTTAAACCACTTGCTGAGCTCTTTTAGGAGCTAGGAATGAGGACTGGAATTTAGTTTCAATAGGATACAGAGGAAGGCTAGAGAGTGATGAAAAGATCTTTGAGGACACCAAAAGACCTATGGATTTCCTTAACAATTAGACATACCTGTCTCTGTAGTAATTCTGGTAAGCTCTGCTGGTTCTTAGAGAGAGCCAAGACCCTCATATAAAGGCAGTGTCCTTCAGGCTCTGGCATGACCAGAAAGTTTCAGAAAAATATTTTTCTGAAATATTTTTCAGAAATGATACATGACTTCTCAACACCAATTCTGAAAGTTGTACTACTTGCTTAAACTTCTGTGTTCCCATCATGCTGAACTATGATGATGTCACCTCTTAGGCGGCAGAAGAAAGTAGTGTTGTTGGGCACTATTATAACTAAGGGCTGTCCTGTCCTCACAGTAGTGGATATGTAGGGCATGGTCACGCCTTCACACTTACAATTGGGCTACTGAATGCAGCCTGTCTGGAATGAGGCACTTCACCGACTCTTTCTCCACTTCCTACAGCAAAAGTACTTCCAGAAAGATGAGTTGAAGGCTTGCTTCCCAAAGGCCGGTTATGAATTGTCCTGCAGTCATGGGCTCTCAGTTTTGCCACATTGCTGAGGGAGCCACTCAGAGTGTCCATGTAGTCGTCCTCCTCGGAGACAGCTTCCTGATAGGACTCAAGCCTCTTGGCTGAAGAATAAAAATCACACTGGGTCAACATCTGAGAACAACTTGCAGGATGAATACGTCAGGTGGTTCTGAGCTGTTTACACCACCTCCTTCCCTTTCAATCCTGGCTCCAAATTCTCCCATCTGAATCCACAGTTAATAATTATCTCATTCCTTATTGAGGAAAGCAGACACAACAGATTAGGAACTCCTTTCCTTTGCTATCTCCAGGGATAACATCTTGTTTACATCTCATACACTCTACCTGCTACCCTACTGTGATGCAGAACTCAGCCTTCCTGTCAAATGCCCAGCCCTCCACCTCCAGTCTGGATCCTGCCCTCTGGGTCTTCAAGGCCCTCATTTTTGCAGCCCCTCACCTTTCATTCACACCAATCTTTCCCCAACCAGTTTCAGGGCTTCCTGTCCCCAACTCTCCATTAACCTAATGTCAAGGTCACCAGTAAGCTCCATTGTCTCAAACCCAGTAATCACATACCTCTATGTCCTTATCTTATTTGAACCCTTAGTATTAGCCAACTCATTCTGGAAATATCCCTTTGTGCTTCTGGTATCATGCTTACCTGTTTTCTCTCCTACTTTAATGGCTCTCGCTGCTTACTTTCTCTAGCTGGCTTGCTTGCATGCACATGCACTTGCATGGGTACGTGTGTGCATGTGTATGGTGCGGGAGCATGTGCACATGTTTACACACCGGTGGAGGACAGAGGCTAGGGTTGGGTCTTGTTACTCGAGTTCTATGCTCTGTTTTGTTTCTTGGTTTTTCTTCTTTGTTTTGAGACAAGGGACTCTCACTGGCTTAGAGCTCCTCACCAAGGAAGCTAGTAGGCTGGCCAGACAATGAGCCCAAGGATCCACCTGTCTCTACACCTCCTCAGTGCTGGGGTGACAAGTACACACCAATGTGCCTGATGTTCTCTTAAATTGTGTCCTGGGGATTGAACTCAGGTCCTTGTGCTTTCAAGGTAAGTACTTTACTGACTGAGCTTTCTCCCCAGCCCTCAGTATACTTTTTGTCTTTCTGCAGTGGTAAGGATTGAACTTAGGGCCCCATACATGCTAGGCAAATTCTCTACATTATATCCAGTCTGCAGTTAGCTTTCTTCTCGACCCTCCATTACTGGCAAGTGCAGAACTGCCTTACCTTCTCCATCTGCACCCAGTCCCTTGGGTGGTATTATCTGGTTTGATCTCTGAAATAGAATTCTGTACACATGACCTGTAAACCTGTCACAGGAATCCAGACTCATACAATCAACTGTCCACTTGGCTGTCCATAAGACTCTTCAGCACAGACAGTGGTATGGCTACCTCCTCAGTCCTCCTCAAGTCTTGTATCCATGTCAGTGAAGATTTCCCAGGTTGGGCCACATTAGTCATTACTGGTCCTATTCCAGCATGTATCATCATCTACATATGACACACCTTTTACTTCTATCCTTTAGAACATCCAACAAAATATAAACCTTAATATGGTTACAGAAATTTACATTTTGTTAATATATTCTTAGGGTCCAATCCAGTAGCTCATAAACACTCAATAAATACTTTATGAATAAATACATAATGTAAATTCCACATGGTTTAGCAGAATGCTTTCCTCTGCCTCCTCAACTTTCCTCTAGTCTTTTTATCCTTTATACAACTGTACCTGACTGTCTATGTGGTTACAGAAGCCAAAAATCTAGAATTCTTCTTGATCTCTTTTCTCTTCCCCACATACTAGCACATGGCCATTACACATCAAGTATATCCTGAGTATCTAGACTTTTCTCCATCAGCTTAGTTCAAGTTGCCATCATCTTTCAACTAGACTAGACCAGTAGCCTCAAAACCAGTCTCTTTGCCTCTCTGCAATCCATTCCTTAGATAGCAGCTACAGTGATCTCCCTAAAGGATAAAAGCAGGTCAGATCACTTCCTACATAAAGCTTTCTGATACCCTCAGTATGGTGGTTTGAATGAAAATGTCCCCCATAGGCTCCAAGTATTTGGACATTTTGTCCCCAGTTGGTGGTGCTGTTTTGGGAAGGTGTGGCCGTGCTGGAGGAAGCATGTCACTGGGACAGGCTTAGAGAGTTCTCAAACCTTGCCAGATCTCTAGTAACTCTCTTGTTTCCTGTGCCTGCTTGAAGATGTGAGAGCTTAGCTTCCGCTCCACCACCAGCCACCTCGGCCACCATGCCTCCCCGCCATGCCTCCCCACCATGATGGACTGACTTTTGCCCCTTTGGAACCTTAACTAAATGAATTCTTCCTATTATAAGTTCCTTTGATCATGGTGTTTCTATCACAGCAACAGAAAAGTGACTAATACACTCAGGTTTACTTAGAATAAATTCTGGACTCCCTACTCTGGACTCCTTACCTTACATAACCTAGAATGATCATCACCTCTCTTGATTCCTTTTTGTCTTTCTGCTACATTCTCACTAAAATTCAGACTCACTGGCCTTATTTATTTACTTTGAAAACTTGCAAGCTTACTACAGCATGAGGGGCTGTGGGCTGGAAAGTGTTTGTCCCTGAATTTCAAGATTTTGTGATTCAGCTCTAGACTCTAATGTCCCACTTAAGCAAGGTCATGCCTGGCCATCTAGGCCAATGCAGCCACCCAACCCTCATAGGCCACATCACCTTATCTTAATTATCTACAAAGTCCTGATAATAATTAATATTCTTACTTTTTCCTCTTGCTTTTTCTTTTGTTTTTGTTTTGTTGTTTCTTTTTGGAGTCAAGGTCTTATGAAGCCGAGGTACTGAATATGCAGCCAAGGATGGCCCTGAGGTGCTGATCCTGCTGCCTCCACCTCTCAACTGCTAGGATGTTAGACATCACCACCACATCTGGCTTGAGATTCTGGCACCAACTTGTTCAATGACTAAGTGGCTTTCAGCAAAACATTCACTCTTTCTGAAGATTTCTGATACAGCTGTACCAGCTCCCACCCATACTGCTGCATACTAGACAGCTAGCATTTTCATGGGAAGAGTATTACTATATACCAGACTTCATTTAATCATTATGACACCCCTCTGAGTAGGTACTATTAATAATCCCATTTTCTAAGTAAAGAAATAAGCCTTATTAGTTGGCTATTTCACAAAAATAGCATGGACTAGTCTTAACACCAGGTCTATCAGATGCCACAGGCAGGCTTCTGTGTCCTAATGTTGTACTGATTCTAAATACAGCCACTTGTTAGTTTTGCTAGTTTAAAGGCCAAGCTCCTCTGTCTAATTTCTGTGAGCTCATGTTTTGCAGCTTAAATATCTGTCAAAGGAATACTGGATGAATGGATATAAAACCGAAATATTTCTAATGTTAAGAGAAAGTTGTGGGTAGGGACTTACAGTTATTGAGGTTTTTCTTTCATCATGAGTCTGTGCGTATACACAAATACACACATTTCTATCTTCAAAATAATGAATAATGTCACAAGGCAGCACTTACCATTGTTCCTCTCTCCAGCTGAGGAAATTAAGAAGCCGAGAGACTACTGTAACCATGTTTAGCAGATGATTGAAGGGAGAGCTGAGCTTTAAGTTTAGTCTTCTTGATTATAAAGCCAACATGTGTATCTCTACATCCAAGCTCCTTAGTGCTGAACAGTATATAAGAAGAACTTCTTACTGCTTTTTTTGAGGGGGGAGGGTGTAAATTGGTGTCATGTGGAACTTTTGGCAATGTCTATGCTCACTGTTGGTTGTTATAACGGGGGTGGGGTGGTGCTATTGGCATCAATGGGTAGAAGTCAAGGATACTTCTAAAGATCTCACAGTGCACTTGACTGCCCATCTCAAAAAAGAATAACCCATCCCAAAATAGGAATAGTGCCGAGATTAGTAAGTCTTTGAATTGCTCAAGAAATATATTGGTAATGGGATGTCATTCTTAAGACAATTAGAGTCTCAAAACCCACATAAATGGGTTCTAATTAGGATGATGCAATTGTGTGATCAGTGTGATGTTAGGTAGCTCATCTATCACTGTAGGACAAACTCGCTCAACAAGCAGAACTACAAGATTGGATCTGAAAAGGCAGCGTGACTCAACCTTCACTCATGTTATGGAAAGCTCTGGGAAGTATACAGGGCAAGATATTACAGTGTGAATAAAAAACAAAGCACTGGAGATACATGCCCAGGCCCAGTCAAAACTTTATGAAAATTGTGTATGAAAAACCAGGTTTGTGCCATATTGATAAGCAAAACTTACCCAAATGATAGTAAAGACTTCTAATATTTCTAATAAAGTAAGCTCTAATTTAGTTATATAACTGTCTCAGGACAAACTAGAAACTCTCCCCTTCTGATACATATGAGGAAACAGTCTGTAGTTAAAGGTAGGTCCTAGGCAAAACAAATGATCTCTTTTATTTATTTGCCTTATTTAATCTCTAATATCTTCTTTTGCAATCCACCCCTTCTCAAATATTCCAAAATCTGTTTATGGCCCAGTTTGATTTGGTATCTGATAGATGTAGGCCTGAAATATGGAACAAAAAGCTTACCACACTTTATAGTATACAAGGTCAAACACAGCACAAAGAGCTTCCTTCCACACTTCATCTTCCAGTCAAGCCTCCCACAGTGAACTAATTTCCCAAACATCCCTGGCATCCCAACTTTCACCTACTGTAAATAGCACACTTAGCTAAGCTTCCTCTAACCTCATCATGCACATATCACTGAAACTGAAAGCTCTCTTCTGAAATCTTCCATACATTTCCAACATTCTGAGAATGTCTGATACCCTGCCTTTAATACAATGAATCTCATCAGTGTAAACTCCAGCTCTAGAACTGCCTGTCTGACAGAAAATCAAACCACACATGAAGCAAGAATACAACTTTATTTTATTTCTCTCTGTGTATATATGTGTGTGATATACGTACATATTCATGTAGGTGTGTGCATATGTGCGTACAGGTGTGAAAATGCATGTTGTGAGCATATGTGGTAGCCAAAGGAAGGCCCCTTATTTACTGAGACAGTATTTCTCACTGACCCTGGAGCTTATCCACTTGGCTGGGGTGGTTCACCAATGAGCTCTAAGGATACAGGGGAACCTATCTCTGTCCCCTCAGCAATGGGGTTACAGATGCATGCCACTATTACATATGATTTTTTTTATGTGGGTGCAGGGATTTGAACTCAGGACTTCATGCATGCACAGCAGGCACTTTACCAACAGAACCATCTCCCAGTCTCAAGGATATCAATTTTAAAGTTACAATTAACAAGATAAATTTGTAATTTATACATCTGTCTCCCACACTGGATCATGTACTTCTTAAGAGGCAGGCCTACCTATTATTTTAACTACAGTAATTACAAAAATAATAATAGCAGCTTGTGTATAAGGACTTACCTATGCCTGGCTCTGTTCACTTTTGCATGAATTATCTGCATGGGTGGGACACTATCATGGCCCTTTTTCTGAGGCTGAGACCTTGCATAACTCGCTGAGAGCCACAGAGTTGCAGGTCTCAGAAATGGGATTTGGAATTAAAAAGTTTGATTGCAAAAATCTGTTCTTGGAAAGTAATCCCTGATGCCTCCACATCAACACAATTATAAACTGTGGGTCACAAGGGCCTTGCCAGACAATCTCAAACTGAGGAATATTCTACAAAACCCCAGAACAGACCTGTCAAAGCACAAACTCACCAAAAGAAGGAACACCTTGGGAGCCTGTCAAGTACAGAGAAACCTACATGAGGGTTGTTACTGGCATCCAGAACATGCTCCTGGGACAGTAGGGGATATGAGAGAAAACCAAGGGTACTCTTGGAACATGGGTTTCAGGTAATAATGTGCTGACACTGATTCGTCACTGATCACAAATGCATAGCATGGCTCATGTTAACAGGGGAAACAGTATGAGGCCCTGTTGTTCCCCCATAATGTCTTTGTAACTTGTCTGTGATTTAAAACTACCCTAATATGGAAAAAGTTTTTTTCATTTATTTATTTTTATTTTATGTGTATGAGTGTTTTGCTTACATGCATGTAAGTGCACCCATGCTGTACAGTGTCTGCAGAAAGCAGAAGAGGGTGTTGGCTCCCCTGGAACTGGAGTTACAGACAGTTGCTAGTTGCCATATGAGTGCTAGGATTGAATTTAGGTCGTATGCGAGAGCTGCCAGTGCTCTTAACTGCTGAGCCACCTCTGCAGCCCCGCCCCCCGCAAATTTTATTTTTTAAATGGTATTCTTTTTTCGGTAGTCTTTTAAAGGTGTTTTTTTTTTTTTTTTTTTTTTTTTTTTAAATTTTGATATGTATGCCAATCACCTGGGGATACTGTTCAGGTGAGGTTTCAATTGATGCTCTGCATTTCTAACCCAGGCCCAGGTGCTGTGGGTGCTGCTGGTACGGCTGCCAGCATGTGGGTCCCTTCCAAGTGGGCAGGTCTTAAAATACATAACAGTGTTGTCAGGTGTGTATAAATCATTTGCATGTGGGCAGAGGGTTATTTCCAAGCAGCAGTATTCTTTACACAATTATCTCCTACACAATACTTTTGATAGAAAATCCTAAAACATTGGCCATAAGACATCCATTCGTTGTTAGTAGCTTTCATTTCAGTGAAAGTAGTACATATCTCTGATTATATCTATAAAGAACTGGACCTTATTCCAAATCCATTTATCTTGTGTGTGTGTGTGTGTGTGTGTGTGTGTGTGAGTGAGTGTTTCTAAATTGTTGCATAAAAGATGAGAAGCTTTGGATGTGCCAATGGTAAAAATGTGTCCATATGGGCTGGAGAGTTGGCTCATCAGTTAAGAACATTGGTTGTTCTTGCAGAAGACCTGAGTTCAAATCCCAGCACCCGTATGGCAGCTAACAACTGTCTGTAACTCCAGTTCCAGGGGATCTGACAGCCTCTTCTGTCCTCGGGCACGATACGGGTGCACCTACCTACATGTAGGCAATACACACATACACATAAAATAAAAATAATAAATAAAATATTTAAAAAAAAATGTGTCCATAGGCAGTCAGCACCTTCTAGAGGTAGCATAAGACCCCATGTTTCCCACATAGCCATCTCGGTTACAGTTCAATTAGGAATATTTAGCTCTAGTCACTTGGTATCTTTCGTGCACTGAGGGGACATAGAAAATAAGTACTAAAAATATATAGTGTTAACCAAACAGATGCTAAGCATCTGCATCACTTAGTGTCATCATAAATGTTTGCATCATCATATCATTTAGTACCACTCAACATCTACTAAATTCTAAACAAGAATGCAGAATAGGGGTTGGAGAAATGTCTCAGTGGTTAAGAGCACTGGCTGCTCTTATAGAGGATCCAGGTTCAGTTCCCAACCCCCACATGGCATCTAACAACAGTTCATAACTCCAGGTCCAGGGACTCTAACGCCCTCTTCTGACCTCCACGAGCACTGCATGCAATGTGATATACTTGCAGAAACACAGGCACAATACTCATACTCATAAAATAAAAATATCTTTTAATGTAGAATAAAGTCTATTGGGATGAATTCAGTACCCAGTGCTTAAACCCAGCACTTCCTTACCGGGATTATTAGGCATTTAAGTGGTTGTGAAGTGAACGCTGTAGGTGGTTTTGTAGAAATCCCACTTACCATTTTCTTCGTGGCAGTAGTCAAATCCTGCCACACTACACCTTCGAAAAACCATTTTATTTTCAGTAAGGGTTCCTGTCTTATCAGAAAAGAGGTACTGAATCTGTCCAAGATCCTCAGTGATGTTTAGGGCTCGACACTGAACAGTGGAATCCATTTTCTCATTGTAGAAATCCACATCACTTTGAATAAAATATATTTGCCCAAGCTTTACAATTTCGATGGAAACATAGAGAGAAATGGGAATCAAGACCTAAGAACAATGAAAAACTGTTAATGACGGTGACAGAAGGTGAAGAGAGCTGACTGGAGCTAGATAGCCACAAAAAAATCCTACCTGCAACAAAATGATCATGGTCCAAAACATATAGAATCCTGCCAACATGGGTGATATGATGTGTCCATCAGGCTCAGGGATATTGAAGAAGAGCATGTTTTCATATTTGCTCAGCCAGATTCCATGACCTTTAAGAAATACACGGACATCAAAAGAACACTATATAGAGAGTACACAAATACAGAACTACATCCCTCAAGAAGGATAATGAGGACTCATTTTGGTACAAATTTAAAGGGATACACTTTCATGTCTCTGACTCCCTCTAAATCTCTTCCCAAATCCCTTTAGTGCTGTGGCAAAGTATAAATAGAGATACTCGACATTAGTGTTTGTTAAGCTAAAGAATGAGATAGAAAAAGACATGAGGAAAATTTAAAAGTTAAAAAAAAAACCCCTCTTATCCAAGCCAAACAGAAACATCATTTTATAAAATAATGTAAGACCTTACTGAAATTATGTCAGCAGATAATTCAATTTCACCTACCCAGTGCACCCGTTAAACACATTACAAGCAGAAGCAGGACACACCAAAGGACATCTGTATTCGCTCTTCTCTCTAATTTACTGCGCTTATACCGTGGTCCGCTGTTGTTCAGCATTGCTTTAGTTTCATGACCTGCATGGGAAAGACTATGTTAGAAAACATACAAAGTATGTAGGTAGCAAAGAGCACACTGAAAAACCTCTTTGCCAGACAGTTAACTCAAACATGGTTATATAACATATTTTGTCGGTTTAATCTGCTTTTGTGATTTATTTAGAAAAAAATGGAATCTGTGATTAAGATGATCAAAATGCAATTTCTGCTTCTCAAGGTTCCATTTTGAGTAATCATAAAATGGAGGAGAGAATGATAGACTTAGAAATAGAACCAACCTGCATAGACCACAATGCCTACAACAGCCTCTGTGTTTCTCACTGTGCATCCCCTGAGCAATAAATTCTCTTTGCTGAGGCCCACACGCTCCTTGTTGGAATGTTCTCTGCAAGAAACACAGCATATGGATTTATTTTTAGAAGGCAAAATAGGGAATCAAAAGTAAAAGTGTTGCAAGGTTCTAGACCCATTTAATAAGTTAGTTTATAGGGAAAGCTTCAAATCTTTGGCCCATTGTGTAGGAAAGAACTGCAACAAGTTGAAAGCTCTTATTGTTTCTAGTTGTTATTTGTCAAGGTCTGTTACTACAAGAACTCAAAAATACTCAAAGTAAGGATCCTGCTTTTCTAGTACCCACTGCATTTTGGGGAATGTAATAGTGAATAAAGGGAATCAGAGAATGAGCAATTTTGATTCAGTTGAAATTAAGAATTATTTTTAGGCAATGCTTATTAGTGACTTTAAATCATTACATGACAGGCTGATGGGAAACTGCATAATGAAAGGCGAGGGCTGAAACTACCAACAGCAAAGGGACAGGGGCTATAACAGGCCCCTGTGTGGGTTAGGAAGTCAGCACTCTATATTCTCTGTTAGAAGTCTGGCTTCTTAGATTCCATGAAGCCTCTAGAATCATGAGCAGTATTTTATTTGTGTGGCTTTATATGCACAACTACTCTTGCTATTTTTAGGGAGAGAATCCATTTCTTTCAACAGACTCTGAAAGTAGGCCATGACACTTGACAATATAACAGGGCCAGAAAAGCATGTTAAACCTCATTAGAATGAGGCAGTCGGCCAAACCTAAATGTGGTAAAGGCTTTTCTCAGCAGAGACGATTCCTTACACAGCAGATGATGATGATGAACACAGAGAACCACAACTGGCCAACATGTAGAGAATAATTATGAGGTTGCAGACTGCTTATCCCTGAATCACCTATATCAAACTTCTGCACCCAAGGCTCAGGGATCAGTGTGGAAGAGGGAGTGGAAAGACTGTAAGAGCCAGAGGAGGTAGACAACCACAAGGAAATAGTTTTGTAGATAGCTGGTCAGTTACTCACTGTAGATAGCAACAGTGACATCATACATAAGCATCATGTAAGCTCAAGACAGAAAAAACAAAACAAAACAAAACAACAACAAAAAAAACAGCATAGACATGGGTAAGAGGGTAAGAAACCCCAACCCTACACCCTATCTGAGGAACTTCTGGCAACCAGTGACTGCTGAGAAGGGGAAATTCAGCCTCATTTAAGGGTGAGAGTCTTAGGTTGACCAGGTTCAGGTGGATGAATTCACATTGATACATGAGACTCAATCTCCCCTTCCCAGCAGTCACCACTTGCCATAGTCCCTCAGACAGGGTTGGGGTTATATATACACATATGAGTTCAGAAATTTGATGGGGGACTCAAAAGGTAGGTGCAGATACAGGAGGGGATCTATGATCAAAATATGTGGTATAAAATTTGAAAAAATAAAAAAAATTCAAAAAACTTATCGGGTTCACTCAAGCAACCAATGACATGGGGAAATGAAGGAAGGAGGCGGACTCAATCAGCTCAACCTAGAGTCTAGTAAATTCTATGAAATAAATGACCGTTTTGGCAGAGGAAGTTTAGAAACTCATTGGCTAAATATAATGTGCAGAACTTGTTTTGGTTCCTGTTTTGAATAAAATAACTATTAGAAAACTTTTCTCATCAACTGGAAAAATTTGAATTCCTGGCATTAGATGAGATGAAGGAATGGTTCTGATTTTCCCTGGGTGTGATAGTGGCTTTCTGGTTACTTTTCAGTGTCCTCATCAGCTGTGAGGTATTCACAGTGAAATGTGACACAGGGTTGGGGCAGGAAGTAGGAGAGAAGGAACAATGCTGGCAACGTGTGAAATGACCAAGGCTGGGGCCAGGGCGGGCTGCGTGTTGGTCAGACATTTCTTTTCACTTTTACACCTTTGGGAATTTCTGTAATAAACAGTCGCAAAATTTCCAAAATAATCACTTGCTTAAACTATAACAATAGTACAGGGCAAAATTTTTGGAATATTTACACAAACAAGAAAAAACATTTGTTTGCATATTTGAAAATGTCCTCTTAAGTTCAACATTAAGTTTTAATGGATATCTAAGCAATAATCACTAGTTTATAAATTGCTGTTTTTTACATAAGTAAAACCTGTCAATAGGGGCTGGAGAGATGGCTCAGCAGTTAAGAACACTGGTTGTTCTTGCAGAAGACCTGAGTTCAAATCCCAGCACCCACATGGCAGCTAACATCTGCCTGTAACTCAAGTCCCAGGGGATCTGACAGCCTCTTCTGACCTCCACAGGCATTGCAAGACACGGGTACACTTATGTACATGCAGGCAATACATGCATACACATAAAATAAAAATAATAAAAAATTTTAAAAGCCTGTCAGTAAACATTCTTTTTTGGGGGGGGGGGCTGTCAACAAACATACTATTCTTTTTGGAACTGCAAAGAAAATAAAGTAAAAACTCTATGAAGTTTTCATATTCTGAAGAAAGAGCAAAGCAGATTTGCCATTTTATTCCCACAGTTTGTACACGTTTTGTTCTACCAGGTGCCTAAATATCTGTCCAAAGAGATGTCTAGAGTGAGAAGCATCCTTGAATTTAATCTAATTCATCTCCATGGTTTTATTTCACTTTATTTTGGAGGCTCGGTTGAGACTAAGGACTTATTCTGTAGCTCAAACTGGCATCAAACTTACTATGTAATCCAGGCTGCCTTGAGCTTGTGATAATCCTCCTGTCTCAGCCTCCTAAGAGATGGTTGTATAGATGAGAAAGTGAAGTCCTAGAATTCACAATTATAAGTGGCACATGTAGGTGACCATCAGCCAATCCTCATTAATGTGGTATTTGACTCCAGAATCCTCATAGGAGCAGATTTAAACATAAAACTATCATTTCTAAAGCACATTAGCTAGAAGTAATTTTTCCTTCCTGGAGTCCATATTTTTCTCTATGATACAACTCTGTTACCACACTCACACCAAAGGCAAGCTTTGACCTTTTGTACTTGCAAATACCAAACATGTCTTGTACCTGAAAAGCGTACAGTATTTGGCAGAAAAAGGCATAAAATGGCTTCAGAGTTCCATGAAAAACAATAGCTGTGATGTAGAGCTCTCTTCCATTCAAGAAACCATGGCCCATCTTTTTACCATGTGTCCAGCAACTAATAGAGACAGCTTTGGCTACTGGTCTAAGAGCTATTTGATATAGAATTGCATAAGTATGGGCCTAAATAAGGAGTACATCAGCTTTACTCAAATTCATATAGATAATGAGTTTGAGCTTCTTAATGTTCATTGATTTTGAAAACAGACCACTAAGAAGAAGAAAGAATAAAGATCTAGTTCAGCAGACCAAAATGATTCCTCAGAAAAATCACTGCTTCTAACTAGGTTTGAGTCTCTTAATTGAATGTTTTCTGAGGAATTGTTGAGGCCAAGATGAACATCAACAGAGCTGAACAACACATAGGCTGGTGTGATCTCTTGGCAAGGCAGCCTCTGAGGATTCCGGCTGTTGTAATGGTAGGAAACCAGAAAATAGGGTAGCAAATATTGATGCAAACTGACATCAGAGGATCTCCAAACAAATATGGTCACCCAAGGGCAGGTAAGCACAGTATCCCAGAACTCAAAGGCAAGCCAAGAAGACAGGGGGCTAGGAACCACGTGAAGGCTCTGGGCAAGACTCAGTGTCCAAACATCAAGCGATTTGCAAGTGTGTCTGTTGCAGAAGAACCATATCCAAAGGTTAAAAGAAGTTTATGAGGAAGGACAGGCTCCAGTCGCAGAAATCTGGAACTACTTGTCAGGTTCATACTACTGTGAGAGTCTAAGGTAGTAAGAGATGGACTCTTAGATATTGGGCAAAATGTTAGCATTGGTCATAACTAGTCTGATAATGATGTTCTTAAAAAATTTTGTAAATGTATATACAAGCTTCTAGGCCAGATTCTCTGCAGAGTGTTAGGCTCCAGACAACAGAGTGCTAAACTGGACATCCTTCTAGCTCTCCCCTACCTGTACATGAATTCACATGCCACGAACATGTCTGTTCTTGTCAGGGGCTGGGGTTCATCAGTCTCAACCTTAGAGAGAGGAAGTCTGCATAGTCTAACTGAACTCTGTAAAACTGAGCTGATCTAAGGTCAAAAATGGCAGCCCCTGAATCTGATGTTTACAAGAGAAAATTCTGTGAATAGTCAGCAGCTAAAATAATTCTAGAAGAGAACTCATCCCGAGAAAAGGCTTCTGAAACCATTTATGAGAGAAGGGCATCTGTCCAACTTCAATTTGCAAAGACCATCTAAAATTTAACCATGGAAGAATTCCTCTAAACCCAACAACAATATCTTCAGTATAATTTTGTTTTTTAATGTTTGGGGATTGAACCCAGGACTTTATACATACTAAATATTCACTCTAGTTCTGTGTTATACACACAGTTTCCCACAAAAAATAGTTCGTCTTAAATACAGAAGGTCTTTTAGACTGGTCCCTTCATGAGCCATCTTACTGCTCACCGATATACTACATACATACATACATACATACATACATACATACATACATACAAAATCTACGGTGGTCACAAATCATAGCTTCTGCTACTCCCCAGTCTAGAATGTTAGACATTCTTTGCACTTGGTTGTTTCTGAGTCTTAAAAATAGAATCCCTCAGCTGAGCGTGGTGGCATAGGCCTTTAATGCCAGCACTCAGGAGGCAGAGACAGGCAGGAAGATCTCTGAGTTCAAGACCAATCTGGTCTACAGAGTGAGTTCCAGGCCAGCTGGGGTGACAGGGAGACCCTATCTTAAAAAGAGAACCCCCCAAAAAGAAAAGGAAATAGAATCCCAACATCACCTCCAACTTAGGATTGAGCCCTTAGCCTTTTCCCATGGCTTAGTTTCCTTCACTGTCCTACCACTGGTCAGTGTCAGGTGACTACCTTTATACTATGTATTTTCTGCATGATAACTCTTATTCTTTCTAAGGTTTTTAAAACAACTCCATTGAGGAATAACTAACAATGACCAACAGAATGTAAAATATGACCTGTTTTCTTTACGAAAGCATTGTCAGAGTTAGGGCTTCCCTGTGGCTCTGTGCAACTTCCCAACTCTCCCCACTCCAAGATCCCATTCATCTGCTTTCTATGAATGGAGATCAGTTTTCATTTTCTAGAAATGTATTTAAATCGAATCATAATAGGATGTTCCTGTTTTACTTCTTCCATGACTACTTAGAAGGCCACCCAGGTTGCTACCTATGCCATGTGTGCATTCTTCTGGCTGTGATTAATGTTCTGTTGTATGACTATTTCCGAATTCTAGGTATTCTGGTAGAAGGGATGTGGCTGCCCCAGTTCATGTTGAAAATTAATTTTGGTACAACTTTCCATGCTCTAAGACAAAATTGCAGATCATTGGCTAACTCTTTCCAACGAGAATCGCACACCTGCTCCTTCAGTTCTGATGACGGGACAGACCATCCTTGCATATCACTTAAGCCAAATGCTTTGCTCAAACACTTCCTTCTAAACCCTTACATTTATTCAATGTAATGTGGTACTCATGAAGATGGCTATTCTAGTTTGCTTTTCAATTGCTGTGACAAAACATTCTGACCAAAACCAGCTTGGGGAGGAAAGGATTTATTTGGCTTATATCTCCCAGGTCACAGTTCATCACTGAAGGAACCCAAGGCAGGAACTCAGGGTAAGAACCTAAAGGCAGGAGCTGAAGCACAGGCCATGGAAGGATACTGCTTACTGGCTCGCTCCCTTGGCCCGATTTAATCTTATACCATACAGAACAAGCTGCCCAGGGGTAGTATCCCCCACAGTAGGCTGGGCCCTCCCACATCACTCAACAATCAAGAAAATGCCTCAGAGACATGGCCACTGGCCAGTCCAATGGAGGGAATTCCTGAGCCGAGGCTCCCTCTATCCAGGTGTGCCAAGTTGACAACTAAAGCTGTCCAACACAATGGCATGGTGGTACATACTTGTCATCTCAAGAGACTGAGGCAGGAGAATCACAAATTCTTGGTAAGCCTGGGCTGCACAGTGAGTTTGCAGCTAGGTCTTGCTGCAAAAATTAAATAAATAAACAACTAATAAATAAATAAATAAATAAAAGAAATGTGGGTGGAACTCATTCAAGATATTCTTACATTACTGGAAGAGATTCTAGGATTATTTTAAGAACAAAACGTTATCGTTTCTAATACTTTATTACATATAAAGAGAGATGAACATTTATTAAATTATTAATTATTAAACCAATTTATGGACGGCTAAACTTATTGCTTTTAATGATTTAAATAGGATATGAATATACAAAAATTTTACTGAATTAAGTACAACATCACTCGTGCCCACAAAGTAAGTTTTGTGTCATTCACACACAAAGGTAAGCTATGTGTCACTCACAGGAAGCCTCGGAATCTGCTGAGGTCATTGTTTGGGCTTTCACATTCTATCCTACTGGAAAACTTCTCAGGATCAACTTCAGAGTCCTAAAAATATTTTGTCAAAATCACAAAAGAAGAATAATTCAAAATTAAACCTTGATAGTTAAAACATTGGGTCATTTTTTACCAATTCTTATTTAAGGCATATATTCTGCTATAAAGTTTATTTTTCAAATTTCCCAGAAAAAAAAGTACACACATAATTAGGGGATCCATAACAGGTATCAGACTGGCCTTAGGGCACTGAAATGGTGTCTTCGGAAAGAGAAGAGAGCTTCCCAACACAAGCAGATGATGCATACCATGTGCTGGAATCTATGCAGGGCTCTGCAGAACAACTTCTACTCATGGTGTAAATACTCTTGGGTAAATAAGGCTCTGAAAATACTTTTGTTGCTAGTCTATAATCTTTTGGTAGTTTGCTACATTGAGTGTATATGGAAATACTTTGGAGTACGTATGCATTCAATGCAAGCCAAAGTTTATAAATAGAAAACTCTGAATAAGCAAGACATCACAATTTCATAAAATTCTCTAATGGAGCAAGCAGATAATTTTATAATTCTTCATGAAGGCAATGGATATGTTAACAAAATGCCTTTTTAAAAGTACCTTCTGTAAAGTACAGATTCTTTAAGAACAAGTCAGGTACTCAGGCATGGTGGCTCATGCCTCTAATCCCAGCACATAGGAGGCTAAGGCAGGAAAATTAGTAAGCGTTGAAAACCAGCTGGGGCTACATAGTGAGTTCCAGACTGGCTTGAGTTACAGAGTATCATGAGAGAGAGAAAGAGTCGAGGTGGGGAGAAGAAAGAGAGAAAGTCAGAGAGAGAGACTGAGTGTGGCTTTTTGAGTATTATTATTATTATTATTGGTCTTTTTGAGACAGGGTCTCCCTGTAGCTCCAGCTGCCTGAAACTCACTCTATAGACCAGGCTGGCCTCAAACTCACAGAGGATCCGCCTGCCTCTGCCTACCGAGTGTTGGGATTAAAGGCATGCACCACCATGCCCAGCATATTTTTGTATTTCTATAGCTCATAAAAGAGTAATTATATTTAGATATGACATAGCAAACATAAAATGTAAATTACATGATATGATCTAATTTGTTAATAATAATATCTACTGAATTCTTTTGAAGTACCAGAAATTATATTATGTATTTTAAATACATAGCTAATTCCTTTTTCACAATCCAGTGAGGTTGATGGTATAATTATGGGCCTAATGAACAGATGAGAAAAGATACTAAGAGGATCAAGTAATTTGACAAAGTTCTCAAAACAAGCAGGTAGTTTAGATGTGAATTCTAAACTGAATGAATTCTACAGTGCTCATCCTAAATTGAAGCCAAAGTGTGCCTATTAACCAACTGACAGCAGCCTAAAGTATGCATTTAGTGATATAACAAAATTCCAAGTTTTATAAGATTTGCCAAAATCTCAAGAGCAGGACTGTGTATTAAAGTGATGATGCCAAGCTCAGAGGCAGCTGAATCGCAGAGGGGTCTACATGAGCTATCCACAGAAGGAAAGAGAAGCCCAGCATAATGTGATGGAATTTACCAGTGCAATGGCACTAGGAGGTTATTGATTTCTGAGCATATGATGCCTAAAAAAACCAACTTATTAGTAGTGTAGGTTACAAATTAAAAAAAAAAAAAAAAAAAAAAAAAAAAAAAAAAAGGCCAGGGGCTGGAGAGATGGCTCAGCAGTTAAGAGCACTGACTGTTTATACAGAAGACTCAGGTTTGAATCCCAGCACCCACACGGTGCCTAACAACCATCTGTAACTCCAGTTCCAGGGGATCTGATGCCCTCTTCTGACCTCCACTGGCATTGCACCACATGGGTGCACTTACACACATGCAGGCAATACACTCATACACACAAAATAAAAAATGATCAATAAAAATTTTTAAAGACTATTAAATTTTAAAATATTTTTCCTCAAGTGCTTCTAGACATTGAGAAAGGAAACTGATGTTTAGGTGATCTCATGATTTTTCATATGCATCACACAACAATACCATTTCCATATCAAGATGAGGAAGCTAAGGAATTATGTATTTGAGTAACTTTCCAAAAGTCTAGTGCCACAGCAAAGATATATTTACTCAAATTTCTGTCACTATAACTTCCCTTGTCACAGCAAGGTAAAAAAGTTGTGTAGAATAAGAAACCACAAAAGTTCTAAAAGGTTTTGGAATATAATTAGACATTTTAAGAACAATGATGGAAACACAAAATATAAAAATCTAAGGGTAAGAAACTAAATTAGGAGGTGATTATTTCTATTGCAAATGAACTCTGTTGGGTTCCTCTAGTGAAGTTCTAAAAAAATCTGACTGTAGACTGAAGCATTTGAACACCAAATTCATTTTTATCATATTGTCTACAAAACATAATACATATACATTGATAACTGGAAATGGATTAAGCCATTTGCAATTCTATTTTGTCAGTGGTAGACTAAATTAAAAATCCCTTCATCAGTACTGTGAAAATGAGCTCAGACTTTTCCTGAGGAAGAAAAAAGGAGGTCCGTAAATCCCCAGCCAGAACTTGCTATCTACCTGCTCTGCATACCCTCGAACCACCTGCCGCTGCTTTAAATTGCTCTCTCCATCAAGGCCAGACGTCTCAATGTGACAGATTCCATCCGGATCCGTGGAAGACAGTAACACCATATCTGCAGGGACGATCTCGTTACAGGAGAGACGAATGAAGTCCCCGACAGTGACATCCTTCCAGCAGCAATCAATGTACTTTTTCTCCTTCCTAAAATTGAAAGAGAGAGAGAGAGAGAGAGAGAGAGAGAGAGAGAGAGAGAGAGAGAGAGAGAGAGAGAGATATAAAGTAGCAAAAGGAAGTTTAGGTCACCATTTCTGAAAATGTTAGTGTGTGATTTATGAACTTTTGTGTATGAAATGCTATGTGTATTAAGTGTCAGAACTGGTAAAACCAAAATTTCACAAATGCCTCACTTGAAAATTTAGCTACTGAGACTGGAGAAAAATGGCTCTGTGTTTAAAAGCACTGGCCGCTTTTGCAGAGGACCCGGGTTTGGTTCTCAGCACCTACATGGCAGCTAACAATCGTCCATAACTCCAATTCCAGGGGATCTGAGGCCCTCTTTTGGCCTCTCAGGGTACAGCATGACATGGGTGTACTTCCTTGAATACTGGCAAAACATTCATGCACATAAAATAAAATGAATACAAAATTTTTAAAATTTTGTTATTAAGTCACTAAGACATATTCTTTCGGTTCTCAGCACCCCCACCACTAGGATTTTATTCACTTCGTGCTGTTTGAATGCAACTCTAGGATAAAATTACAGCTAGCATTAGAAGGGTGAAATCATATGCGGAGCGATTTTTGCACATTTCTGTGGTCAGGAGCACAAGACATATCTGCTTTCAGAGATCTCTTCTTCTAGCATGTACGCTGGATATTTAAGGAAAACAATGAAATACCTCTACACAACATTAAAAAATCATCTTTTACCATACTAACATCTCTAATTCTCATTGAATGGAAATAAAGTTAGCCTTCCATGGCCTTGGGCTTTGTATTGAGGATTCCACCAAGTGCGAATAAAAGTCATTTGAAAAGAAAAAACTGTCCATTCTGAACATATACAGACTTTTCTTCCTCTTATCATTCCCCCAAAAATACATTTAACAGCTGTTTACAGAGCTCTTACATTGTACCAGGTATTATAAGCACTCTAGAGATGAGTTAAAGTGTACCAGAGGGCATGTACAGGATAGAGACTGATTGCAGCATTTTACATGAGGGACCTGAGCATCTCTGAAAGGCCCCTGGATCCTACAACCATCCTCTTCCCAGAATCTGACACACAGCTGTACTGCTCAAAATAGTCCTGAGTCTTCTGACCATGGAAAAAGGTATGTCCATTAAAAAAGATTGTTTCCTACTCTATATGTATTTTTTTTCATTTTTTTATATTTTATTCAATGGGTGTGTATGTGTATGTGTGTGTGTGTGAGTGAGTGTATGTGTGTGTGTGTGTGTGTGTGTGTGTGTGTGTGTGTATGCGTGGTGGAATACACTTATAATCCCAGAACTTGAGAGGCTGAATCAGGAGGATAACTTCACCTTTAAGGTTGGCCTAGATCAAATAATGAGACTGTCTCAAATAAATAAATAAATAATAAATAAATAAATAAATAATAAACAAAAATAAAGTAATTTATTTTCTATTATACTCATGGTGTTAAAAGGCTATATTCATTCTCAAGAATCCTTAGAGAGAGTTATAGTCTAAGCATATGACTTATATATTAAGAATCATTAATTCAGCAGAATAATGCACAAGTTAATTCATTAATTCAGTTAATCATTAATTCAGTTAATCATTAATTCAGCAGAGTAATGCATAAGTTGATGGGTGGCAGCCTAGTTAGCGTTAGGAATAAATAAGAAAGCAATGAAAAGTTACTGAAATAATTCAGAGAGATCAAAAGAGTCAGAATTACATCAGTAGCAAGAGAGAGGAACAAAGGAGATGAAATGAAGACATGGTTTGGTACCTGAGACAGGCAAGTTTCCTGACATGTAAGAGACAACAAGGACAACAGGTGGCTCCGAATTTGTATGACAGATGATATCTTTAACCATGTCTCAGATTTTGAAAGAAACAAGTTACATTCAAGAGATGATAACAAATTTATTTTGAATTTTTAAAAATTATTTATTTAATAACCACATACTTAGAAGAAGCATTTCATTAAAACAGCATTGACATATTCAATAACAATTTTCTGAGCTA